GGATGGAAAGGCACTACTGATCCTGCTGCTTCTCTCGTGCGCGATGGCTGATGGCTGCTGCTAGCGACGCCGCCGTTAGCTGTTCTACTCTCGCCGATGTTGCCCAACTGTGCTTTCGTCCTTCTTCATCTTACGAGCCCTTATTATCTTCATTCGTTCGAGGATTTGTTGCCCATCGCCGGCTGTTTTTTCCACCGTGACGCAAGCGTCACGCGACTCACGCGTTTCACTCGCAACCTGTCTCACGTGCTGCTCTCCGTCTTCCGGAAATCTTCCATAATTGCAAGAGGATGTGGTTGGTTTATGGGAGCTCTTGAATTTAGTAAATTTATGGGAATTTGTTAGAATGTGCCGGTACGTAGCGAGAAGAATGAGAAAGTTCTTAAGCTATTATGGAATATGAATGTAGCTGCGGGTATTTTAAGCTACTCGCTTGATGAGCGTTTGCGAGCGTTAGAAAGTGCGATCGTAGATAATGAGCGATTAAATGGAACGTTTTCAACTTTATTTTATATAGCGCCGTTAACGGGTGACTAGCTTATGTGAAGGCTTATGGGTTAAATAAACATTTTGTTCAAACATCACCGAGCGCTCTTAATATTTGACCATTTTATTATTAACATACAAAGGGCTATTTACAAATTATAAATTCTCGATCGTACGAGTTTATAGATTATTAAAACACAAATACAAATAAGAATGTTGAATGTTGAAAGGATTGGAGTAAGTGTAATTTTGCGTGTGGTTTTGAAATGCTTTGCGCATTATGAGGTTGAAATGTTGAAATAATCTGAAACGTTTCATAGTTAATCCGCTTGTATTTGTATACTCAACGGATTGGAGAATCGAAGCATTTTTAATTTGCTTTATGGTATTTTGTAATGCCATTAAACTATCACAATACTGTATGTGATTACAAATACTTTTATTAGCTTTGAAGTTTTCCCATTCCCTAAGCTCGACAATTAAGTGCATACAATAAATATTCATTATGTATACGTAGAATAATAAAAAAAAATAAAATAAAAAAATAAATAAATAAATAAATAAATAATAATTTTAATATTGTCGGGATAAAAATTAAATTTCAATTTTTAATCGATTTAAGCTAATAAGTCGTATTTGCTCTAGAAATGTATTAGCAATGGACGTCCAATTGTGGATGAACATAATCCACTAACTGATTAATTATTATCAAATTCATTGCAAAAATTCAATCATCATTGATTCTACTTCTTTTTCATTTTTTATTTAATGCCTATTGCACCAATTGTGAAATCCTGCTCGTAAGTCCACTTTGTTATTCAAATTCATAAAATTAGTTAGGTTCATGTGCATTTATCTCCGTATGAGTCATGGAAACTTTCAGTGTAAGAAAATAATTTGAGATTTGCAATAGATTAAAGTAAGGCGATAAATTATCGTCTTATTCATATTTAAATTTCAAATATCTCGCTAAATTGGCAGAAAATTTTTTAAAAAATTTTAATTAAATTAAAGTATCACCGTGTATCGGTGGCGTAGATTTATCGTAAATTTTAAAAATGTGCATGATTATTAAAGGAATACTGGGAGGTCGTATGGTAAATATTTTTTATTATAATTTTCGAAATTGAACTTGTTTCCGCATATACTACCATTCTCTTTATATCGAATTTCTCAAAATTGTTAATTTCATCGTAAAAAGTGATTACTTTCATTGTACGCAACAATTTGAAACGCTTATTTTCTTAAAAGTTATTTTTGTGCTTCCGTAGGTTGTAAACGTTAAAAAAAAAACTTTCATTATTTTATGAACTTATATATTAATTGAACAATTTTCAATTATTTTTGTAATTTTTACATTTGACTCTTCATCTATCGATATATCAATTAATTATCTACCATATATATATATATATATATATATATATATATAATTTTAGAAGCTTAATATACTTTCGAAATCAAATAATACACAACAATATTTGATAATAAAACATTGTAAATATTATTATTATTATTATTATTATTACGATATCTTATAAGTACATGATAAATACAAACTTTTAGTTAAATGACATTTGTATTATTGATTCGTTGTAATAGAGTTATAAATAAATATTTTTCCATCTAAAAGAATACCTTCTTCTTTTAAAAATAGAGAAATAAATCAGCCAGAATAGTAAAGAATATAAAGAATCATGCAATGAGAGTAAATAACCTCAAATTTTTAATAGTAATTTTGAAAATAAATATTAGATATAATTATAAACAATCGTGGCTTAAGTAAGCAATTAAAAACTGAATGAGAAAAATAATATGTGCACTATCCAATAAACAATTGGAATTTATAATATTCTTATGAAAATTGAAAATTATATAGCAATTATGTAGAAATAAATTCTGTTGATGCTTCGAGTGTTAGGAAATTAAGTACATTGAGAATTTTTAATTAAAGATCGTAAATATTATAAAGAATTATATAATCGAAGCATAATCTTGAACGAGATGCAATAATGAAATGACGATTATGACGCGCAAGAGTCTCGTACTCGGATTCATAAATGATTCGAGTATTTAACTAGAATAACAAATAAAAGAATGTCGTTAAAATTTTAAAAATAGAACATGAAAATACAGCCATAATTTAGATAAACTACGGAAAATTGAGATATAGGATGAAATTAGATTTATAAAAGTAGAATGTGGAATTGGTAAGAACGAAGGGGAATATGTTTTTACAATTATATCTTTACTTAATAGTTTTTATAATTTTTCTCTTGTATTCTATCTTTAACAATAAAAGTGTAATATTCGAATTTTTTAATTCTTTTTTCAATTAATCCTTTTATTAAGTATTAATATTTTATTAATAAAATAAATAATAATACATATAATTATTCTGCTCATTATATAAAGCTGAAAAGTCAGAACTTATAAATAGATTATGACACTTTTGTAAAATATATTTTATTCAAATATCCATCTCAGCAGATTACTTATTTTCAATTTACATCTCTTAATCCATCCAATATATTATATACAAAATTATTTTCACGAATCAATAGATTCTTATGACTACCTGAATTCTGAAATTAATATGTAATAAAATTTGATTAATAGATTATTATGCTCGCTATGCCGTCGGAATGGGATGGACTTTCGATTATTAAAGTAGCTTGTAAAAATAAAAATAAAAAGTACCTATAAGTATCGATAAAACGAGTGAGCGAGGAAGGGAACGAGGAAGAAGGGCAGGAAGTAGAGTGGAAGATAGACAGATAGATAGATAGATAGATAGATAGATAGATAGATAGATAGATAGATAGATAGATAGATAGATAGATAGATAGATAGATAGATAGATAGATAGATAGATAGATAGATAGATAGATAGATAGATAGATAGATAGATAGATAGATAGATAGATAGATAGATAGATAGATAGATAGATAGATAGATAGATAGATAGATAGATAGATAGATAGATAGATAGATAGATAGATAGATAGATAGATAGATAGATAGATAGATAGATAGATAGATAGATAGATAGATAGATAGATAGATAGATAGATAGATAGATAGATAGATAGATAGATAGATAGATAGATAGATAGATAGATAGATAGATAGATAGATAGATAGATAGATAGATAGATAGATAGATAGATAGATAGATAGATAGATAGATAGATAGATAGATAGATAGATAGATAGATAGATAGATAGATAGATAGATAGATAGATAGATAGATAGATAGATAGATAGATAGATAGATAGATAGATAGATAGATAGATAGATAGATAGATAGATAGATAGATAGATAGATAGATAGATAGATAGATAGATAGATAGATAGATAGATAGATAGATAGATAGATAGATAGATAGATAGATAGATAGATAGATAGATAGATAGATAGATAGAGAGAGAGAGAGAGAGAGAGATGCCAGAAAAAATACAAAGAAGATACTGACGTGGAGGGAAAGTTGCTTCCAATCGGTGCATATTCGAGCTGGGCCGCGTAATTGAATTTCTCGTCGCTGCTAATCGAGTGAAAGCTTTCGCTACTCTTCCGTCGTCGCTGTCGCCGCGGCTAATTCTCTTCTTCCCTTTAAAACTTTTTTCTCGCAAAAGCTGAGGACTTCGTCAAAGCGCCTCATCGTGTCATAGAAATCGATCGACCGATCTGTCTGACGCTTCGGGGAGTCGGTGGGCATGTGGGGTGGTGGGAGGGGGGTGGGGGTGGCGGGGGTGGTGGGGGGCGACGACAGGTACCGAGCAATTGCATTTGTAGCGATTGCGCTGCTTTACGAATGCCTCGTCTCTTTGCGTATTGGAGCTTTGAAGCGCTTTAGAGTACGATCGAACTGTCGAAGCTACGCGCTATTAATTAAAGAGTACGGCGACAGGACTTAGATTACTAGAGATTACTCGGGCGATCGAGGAGATTATTATTTTTGCAAGCCGCGAAATTCCTTTTTCACACATAGAACGATATGCCGTGTTGGATAAGAAATAATCGCTTGACCAAGCCAATACCTCGACTAAGCTGCGAGCGGCTTTTTTACTTGGCAAACTACCTGTCACATCGAACCGTCATTAAATAATCCGCCTAATGATCGATAAATGCGGCAGAAGCATTCTTTTGGAAAAATAAAAATGGCAAAGCCCATACAAGTCGAGGCCTTTTTACTTGGCGTGAAGGGAAATTGGCCTCTTGCCTTAAGAGGTTAAGGCGACGAATGGTTGGTTACAACTCACAATCCGTAAAGGTAGAGAGCGAGGCCAAGGTGTGCGGATGATAAGCCGACGAAACTTGCAATCCCGTTGATTTGCAAGCCCCTCGATCGCACCAGCCCCACACCAACTACTAATCTCATTATTCCCGATCAATCGAGCTACGCGAAAAAGCTCGGCTTTAGCGCCAGCCATCGCCCCCTCCCCCTCCCCGAAGTCACCACCATCAGTCAATTAATATTTTAACCTGAGCCAATTGGTTTGACCGCAGTCGCTGCTTAAGACGGCCGATCAGCTGAAGATTAAGGGCCTGTGCGAGGTGCCGGAGAGCAGGGAGGGCCCGTCCGTGAGCCTGAGCTCGCCGCCCCGCGACTCCAGCACGCCTCGGCTCAACTTCGCCAAGCTCAAGAGGCACCATCCACGTTACAAGAGGCCGAGAACCTCTTACGAGGGTTCGCTTCGCCCCGGTCACGGGCCCGGCCCAAACACGGAGCCGAGACAACACCACCACCATCACCATCATCACCTCGCCGACCCAGCCAAGTACAAAGAGGAGGACTTTGTCGAGAGCTACGTGCGCGACTGCAACAAGGAGGTGAGAAGGAGGACACGAAAATTCTCGTCGACACTGACCGCGTATCTTCCGGTCCCTTAATTAGCGTTATTTTACGACCGGAGCTATGACCCCCAGTGACTTGTCATTGTGGCTGCGATATTACGATTATCGAATCAGGTGGCTGCAAAGACGACGACGACGACGACGACGACGACGACGACGACGACGACGACGGTGTCGGCAACTCCTAAGCTCGGCGATTTATTCGTCTTGAGTGTGCTTTCATTCTGACGGGACGTAGTCGAAATTAATCGGGTCGCCGAGTTGTTACGTTGAACATCGATTAAAACGCATTGTCGTCGAATCGGCGCGTTGAAGCTCCTCGTCGGGCTCGCTCGGACATTCCCATTCTCCATGTTCGCGCCCTTCACTTTAACTCGCAGCCCGAGAAATGCGCGGCGATTGACGGTTTCCAAACCCCCCCCCCCCCCCCCCCCTCCGGGGCAACCCCTCTCCCCCCGGTCCCGTATTCATTATCAAGGGCCGTAGCTAAATGTTATTATGGCAAGTCGAATAGAATAGAGGAATGCAATGTGGAAGATAATCAAAGTAACGCTCATGGTCCTTTACATTTACTCTCGGCACGGCACTTTAAAGCTCGTTCTCGCGCTTAAGGGACAAAGGGGAAAGTCGCATGGCCCCTTACGGCCCCATTTTTACAATGCACGTGATACTGCTATGCTGCGAGAAAGTATATAATGCAAATTTACCATCGTTATTTAACGTGATTTTTCACTGAGCGGCGCAACACGCTTCTCGTAACACGAAACTTTCCCTGCGTTGCCGTAATCCGCGTTCCCATAATTGCCGAACCTCTCCTTCGTATTCTTAAAAGCCAACGTTTCTCAAACTCGGAAACCTGCGCATGAAAATTTTACGCCAACTCGGTCGATGTAACGAAGCGCGAGGCGTCGTCACAGGGGCCCCGTAAAACTGCCAATTCCACGCGATCGTCCTTTCGGGATGAGGCGGTCGGTCGTGCCCACCCCCGACCACCCGCAAACCCGCAGTCTCCGCGCAATCGCGAATAATCATGGACGTGTGTGCGTCTGCCCGTAGAATCGCCGAGACTGCTGGCCGGCTGAAGATGACGATTGCATGGAGACGACAGCGACGACCACAACAGTAGTCCTGGACTCGTGCCAACGCAGCAGCGGCAGCGTCGGCGGAGGCGGAGGCGGAGGCGGAGGCGGAGGCGGAGGTGGAGGCGGAGGCGGAGGAGGAGGAGACAACAACAACAGCGGTGCCAACAACAACGCCGCCGGTGCAGTGACAAACAACAACGGTAAGCTCGTCCTGAGGGAAAATCCACGCTCCGCGCCTGACGTCGCTCGACGGTCCTCGATTTACCCATCCCGTGGCGGCCGCTGGTGGATCGTTGGGAAGGGGGGATGTGAGGGAAGGGGAGGGACGGACTCTACTACGCAACATTTGTACGATGTCGGCGACGTGGACCTTCCCCGATGCTCCTTTCCCCACACTCTCGCCCCTACTCTCATTCCTCATCGTCGGTCATTTTTTTTGGAATTGGGGGTGGGGTCCGTCCGTGTCGTCGTGGGTATCGTGGCCACCCTCCACGGACGCCTTTCTTCGTCTTTTTCTTACGCACTCGCACTGGTTTCGCGATTGGTAGTCGCATCGATGCGCTTTTCTTAGCTCTCGCGAATCAATTCGCTTATTACAACGACACGAGCAACTCCTCGACTCCCTGTACTATTACGGCAAACTATTTCTGCCGGCTTATGCAAACGTTTATAATTTTTTCTTAGTCATTCGGCGATTCGGTGCATCGTTCGCGCGCGAATATGCCCAAAATGTACTGCCAACTACAATTCAAACAGAGTTTTCGCATTTTTAATCAGCAGTTTTCCACAGCCGTTAAAATTTAATATCACGATGTATTATGTAATTCGATTGGACAATGATAAATAAGGCTGACGCCGATTTTATTGCTCTCCATCTCCAGTGACATATATAACGAACGTTTTATACGCGAATAATGTAGGAATGGACGGATTGTACAAGGCCTGCTGCTTCTAGTTTCATTTACACGGACGATATTTGTTTGCGCGTATTTTACAATAAATAGCTTACGATAACGATTTCGAGGTTGAGTGTCGTATTTTTGGGAGAGAAATAAAACGGAATCTCATGTGATTCGTTGAACCGTGTAATTTAAGCATCTTGCGCGGTGGCGAGTAATACCACTACTACAACGCATGAAATATACGATGTGAGTGTGTTCCGATTAATATTATCCGCACGACACACGACTCCACGAGAGTTTTTCATTTTATAACTGAATTATCGAATAAACAAGACTTTAAATGCTTTTCAATAGGCTTCGAATTATTAGACAATTTAAAACAATTTAGGTCGCCGTAGGTGTATTCGATTTAGGGCTGCGTGCGGGCGCGCACACACACGCACGCACGCATGCACGCACATACCGGGGAGAGAGAGAGAGAGAGAGAGAGAGAGAGAGAGCGAGAGAGATTAAAAAAAAAATAAAGGCGCCAGCGTCGAAAATTCTTTGTTCTACCAATAAGAATTTCCAATTCTAATGGCCGTGTAAATATTATGTTTTGTTTACGTGGGAAAAAGGAAAATTGCTTATAACAAAATTATTGCGTAATGATTCAGTGCCGTATGATTGTTTGTATTGACGTAAAAGCCGTATGTGCAGGTGGTACTCTGGATTAAAGTCTATTTTGCAAAGTGACGGGAAAGCTTCATCGAATTCACGGTGGGAGTTTTTACATCTCGCGTTAACTCGTAACGGAGCTGTGACGTGGGTGGGCTCCCCTAAAAATCATCCATTAAAACATGCATCGGCGCTCGAATCCAATCGACGACACCCACAACCTCCCCCCCCCCCCCCGGTCCAATCCCCACCCCGTGGCACCGATTTCGCGCTCGAGCGCTTATAGTACGCGAACCGAGGACCGTGGCGCTGTTCCCAGGCGTGGGGCGACTTACCGATCTCTCGCCGATGGGGGCGGAAAATTTTTACCTCGCGATAAAAAGGTGACATGTTCTGTCACACAGGCCTCGGCCATTACGGCCACCATCCTGACCCGGGTGAGGTCGATCTGCCGCCAGAGACGCAGCCAACGCCGCCCAGCGCCACCCTCGTCGGCACCACAATCACCCACCTCCGGGACCCTGATCACCACACGGCAGGTTTGTATCGGCCCTCGTTTACTTACTTTTAAAGCCGTGGGTGCGCCTGGTGGAGAGCAAGTGGACAATGGCGACGACGACGACGAGCCTTGGGCCGCTTTACTGCATTTTTTATTTTTCTCTCGTTTTTTTTTTTTTTTTTTTTTTTTCCTCTCATTTCTTTATTTTCTTTCATATATTTTTTTTTTGTTTTTGTTTTTGTTTTTGTTATTTCTTCTCTTTTCGTTTTCGTATTGTTATTGTAAGACGATGCTTAAGAAGAACGATTGCATCGCCGAGAACCGGGCCGTAAAGTCCGAGTGCACGGTGCACGGTGAACGCGTTGTGCGCTTAAAGGGGTTAGGCGAACAATCGATAAAAGCAGGTCTGCCGAACATTTAACATGGGCATATTCTTTGGTATTTCATGCTTTTGGCTGGCAACTCGATAATTATTAAATTTTCTCATGGCTTTAACATTAGTTCGATTGCTCTACGGCCGGCATGGAAGAAGAAATCGGACCGCACGCGAGGAAGATATACGAGGGAAAATATTCACGAATATTTCTGCTCGGAGTTTAATCGCGTAATCCAACTAAATTCATTGCGCTACCGTTTGATTCGATCACATTTGTTTAATTATTTTATGCATTATTTTTTTTTTCTGTTTTCAATACTTTTTAAATTCTTCATTATCTTTTAATTTTAATAGTTTTCTTGCTCTTTCTTTTTAACTATTTATATTACTAATGTAGCGCGGTAACAAATGGCTTGAGCTAACTTTTAGGTTCACTTATTATTAAAAGCTATAAGTAAGTAGTAATTTTGTTTTTCAACATAAATGCATACAATACAACAATAACTCTTTCATTTCGTTTGAAAATTAGCGCAAGAAAGTCCTACTCCTCGCTGTCTTCATTCGTCGTTCATAAACAGAGACAAGATGTTTACAGCAGGTAAATTATTACAAAAACGTGGGAATCGTGTTGATTTAATGATCTAGTGGAAAGGGGTGTTACGTTATTTTGCTTTTCTTTTTCATATACTCATTAATAAAACACTTTTTGTAATATTTTTTCTGTATTTGGACTACTGTCTATCTATATGGCTTCATTAAAGTAGTAATAATTTGTTTCGAGTAATTAGATATTACCTCATAACTATAAATTGTTTTGCTCACAATGATCAAATTATCACAATTTCTCAATAAATATTCTAAAATCGTAGAATCGCTAAAGGCTTTTTCATTATACGTCGATGCAAAACAACAACTCCCAGTTTTATTTTAACATTAGATTTGTAATTAATATTAGAACTTGTAGTATCTATGTGCAAACACGCCTTGCGCTGATTTCTGCGGCTTGCTAACGGAGAAATTTGTGTCTTGCGTGGAAAAACACAGTCGTGTTTACGTAAACAATACGGTTAAGCGTGACGCGCACTGTCAGTTACATATTATTCTCGATTAATAAATAAGTGAACATTTCATGCGCTAGTCGTTAAAAATTACAATCTCCTATTTTATCGACGAAACTAATTTCCGCACTTGCTCATACGATAGTAATTTCAGTCGCACAGTACATAAGCCTTTGTAAAACTTATTGAAAATTTCTTTCGTGAATTTTGCGTGAATACTTTAAGCAAACAAACAAAATATATATATATATATATATATATATATAATCTGTAGGCTATCGTAATGAAATTAATTGATTTGCAATAGTGCGTTACCTTTCAATCGTTGATTGTTCTACTCATTTATTTGAAACTATTCTTAATAATTTTTATTATAATTTAATAGACCTTTTTAACTTGTATAAAACTTCCAATGTATTATATTCCGAATACGTTGAAAAAGTATTAAAACTTTTTGCGCATTTTTAATCGCCAGTCGAATACAAAAAATTTAATATTATTTATATTAATATCAATGGTTATCGTTATTTAAAGTTCCATTAAAAAACATATTGTGAAATATTAATAACAATAATAACAACAATAACAACAACAACAACAATAATAATAATAATGATAATACTACCAACAACAAAAATAATAACAATAATAACAACATAGGCAACAACAATAATAAAAGCAGTTAAAATATATATATTATTAAATCGTGTTTGTATTCTGACAATAATTGGAATAATTATTTTGCATTAAAGTTTCATTTCTTTTTATTGATAAACTTGTTTATAAGTAATAGGTATCGGAATTATTATCACTTGTCAGTATAAGCAACTTGGATAGGTAATAAACATAACCGTCGATTATTTCGATCATGCGACAATTTTATTATCATGAAAACATGTTTAAATTCAAATAATATTCAAAAGCTATAATTTACAAGATGAGTAAAAGACAAAATTTATATCGTTGTAAATTGTTAAGATTTAAAAATAATAGATTATGATAATAATAAATTTCTTTAAAAATTTTCAACTCTTACAACAAGGAAATATAAGCACTTCTTCATATTGCTTTTGGATTTTGAGTTCTGCACATTCGTATGTAAATTTAACAATTTACAAGCTTAATAATGCGGAACATATTCTGTATCTTAAAGATGTCAAACTTATAAATATTTTATATCATTTACTTTCACATTATCATTCCTCCGTCATTGTTACGAATATACAAAAGAGAAACAACGAATGGCCAAGGCTATAAATTTCTTATTAGTAAGCATGGCAATTAGAAACGCGCTATTAGTTTAATTGAAGTTAATTGAATCCTCTCTCATTGTCCTGTACTATTACAAGATAAACGATCGTATTTATTCATTGTCGGATTCTAAAGATCTTATAATTTTATATATATATATATATATATATATATATATATATGTATATATATCTTACTATATTTTTATAGCTAAAAATAAAAAATGGCAAGTTGCACTATCTCCTGAGAGTAGCCTTGGACTTAATTATTTTAATCGATAAATATAGATTGAATTTCGTCATAAAGTGAAGCATCAAGAAAAAAAAAAAGAAAAAAAAGTCCCTGCTTGATTCGTTAATGTCATTGCTCTTAAAGCGATAATGCGAGGATGATAAAGAAAGAACTCATAGTAAAGCGTAAGAATAAGGCTTTATGAATTTTATAATAATGAAGGTGTAATTGAAAGGTAAAAGTTTTTAACAAATTGTGTAGGAATATCGAAGCAGCGGATAAATGTAAATAGTCGGCGCAAAGGAGTTATCGACCTCGCGAGCCTCGATGATTATTCGGGTCCCTCGAGGTGCAATGCCGAGCTCGACGACGCTCAGCCTTTATTCAAGAACGAGTAGTGCGCGTGCGTGGGCGCGTACGCGCAAATCTAATCACGAGCAGTTAAGCCCGATTAGGCCAATTATTTTGATTCCCTTAGTCCCGACTAATGAGCGGCAGCC